AATTTTCTGTAAAGTTGCTTTGCAACGATTTGTATCGTGAAAAGCGCTGTACAAATAAACTTGAATTGAATTGAATTCTCTCATTCACAGAGAGTCCGGAATCTCCACAGTAGCACTAACATGCACTAAACTTTATTTTATTTATTTATTTATTCTAAAAACAGAGCAGTTTGTTCTTATATCATTCACTGACTTATATAGCATTTTATTCCTAATACATGTTGATTTGTCTGACTGTTGACAGTATTCTCTAATTTATGGAGTGATAAAAGAGAAATCCCCTCTGTAAAAACCTTTAGCTCTAATATGGCAACAAAATGAAACAAGAATTTTGAACCTGACTTTATCCAATGCTCAGAGTTATGCAAAGTACTGCATATTTGATTTGATAATGTGTCATTTGCATATTTAAATATAACATTTCAGAATGTCATGTACTGTGAATAATCAGCTGGGCAAAGGCATATAGTTATATCTGTTAGTTAAAATGTTTTATCCTTTTCGCCTGTAGTAAATACTGAACGAGCTGTTGGGAAACTTGGTGATCTTGAAGATGTGCAACCATGGTGTAGTTCTTTACCTTTAGCTCTTTACTTCTGACAATTGTATACAGGCTTCAAAATTCATAAAAAGGGTTTATTTATTAAGAATCAAAAACTTTTGTTGTCACAGGACTTATTTTCTACCATAATCCAAAAGCCAGTACGTGGCAATATCAGTAATGTTGAAATCTGTCTAACACGGTTTAAAATAGTGATAGTTCATGGTAGATCAGGATGCAATCATCTTTTATTGGTTTTGTTTTTTTGATATTATTGCATTTTACCAATATCAAAGCAGTGCAAAAATGTGCACACATCCAAAAGACCCAAAAATGTGGTTCAGGTGCAGGACAATGTTTCGACCAGTCAGGTCTTCATCAGGCACAAGGAGCTTTTCAGTGTGTTAAAGTTGTACACCATTGTAAATTTCTTGGCAGTCCAGAAATACAGTATTTCTGCTTTTGTGAGTTTTGTGAATTTTAATAAATATCGTCTAAAATAATGGTTAATATCAGCATATTTCTGTGCATATTTTATTTGTTGTCAAACTGTATTGTAGCTCAAACAGTAGATCATGGCACTTGCAACAGCAAAGTCATCGGTTCAAATAATCAGCTGGGCAAAGGCATATAGTTATATCTGTTAGTTAAAATGTTTTATCCTTTTCGCCTGTAGTAAATACTGAACGAGCTGTTGGGAAACTTGGTGATCTTGAAGATGTGCAACCATGGTGTAGTTCTTTACCTTTAGCTCTTTACTTCTGACAATTGTATACAGGCTTCAAAATTCATAAAAAGGGTTTATTTATTAAGAATCAAAAACTTTTGTTGTCACAGAACTTATTTTCTACCATAATCCAAAAGCCAGTACGTGGCAATATCAGTAATGTTGAAATCTGTCTAACACGGTTTAAAATAGTGATAGTTCATGGTAGATCAGGATGCAATCATCTTTTATTGGTTTTGTTTTTTTGATATTATTGCATTTTACCAATATCAAAGCAGTGCAAAAATGTGCACACATCCAAAAGACCCAAAAATGTGGTTCAGGTGCAGGACAATGTTTCGACCAGTCAGGTCTTCATCAGGCACAAGGAGCTTTTCAGTGTGTTAAAGTTGTACACCATTGTAAATTTCTTGGCAGTCCAGAAATACAGTATTTCTGCTTTTGTGAGTTTTGTGAATTTTAATAAATATCGTCTAAAATAATGGTTAATATCAGCATATTTCTGTGCATATTTTATGTTGTCAAACTGTATTGTAGCTCAAACAGTAGATCATGGCACTTGCAACAGCAAAGTCATGGGTTCAGTTCCCAGTGAAAGCAAACCTGATAAAAAAAAAGAAAATGTGTAATGAATACAATGTGTCGCTTTAGATAAAAGCATCTGTCAATTGCATATATGTAAATGAAAAATTATATTTTTCACTACATATGGTCCATCTTGGTCCCTAGACATCAGTTGAGGAACCCACTTGTCTTGTTTTGTTCTGAACACACTTTTGCCGTTTTGTTTTTCAGATTTCAGTGGAACATGCAGAAGAGTGTCAGGGAGCATTCAAAAGCCTGCTACAAAATCCCACCTCTTTCATACGAAGAGAAGACAGCTCTGACAGCTGACGTCATGGGGTTCTGCATTTCTGCCTGAGCTACCATCGCTAATGGCTGCGAGGCTGTTCGAGATCTACAGCTCCAAGTGCACGTAAATGCATCACAATGCCTTCAAAAGTGTCATGCCTCTACGTGTTGACGGTCGTTTGCTGGGCCAGCGCTCTGTGGTACCTAAGTATATCCCGTCAGACGACGTCCTACGTGAGCCAACTGTCCGTCCCGGCGCGTAAAATGGCGAAAGCGCTCAAGAGCAACGCCACCACAACCTTCAGCAACATCCGCACGCGTCCACTGAACCCCCACGCCTTCGATTTCATCATCAATGAGCCCAAGAAATGCGAAACCAACGTGCCCTTCCTCGTCATCCTCATCACGACCACGCACAAAGAGTTTGACGCCCGCCAAGCCATCAGGGAAACGTGGGGCGACGAAAGCACCTTCAGCGACCTTCGCATCATTACGCTGTTTCTTCTCGGACGCAGTACAGACGCAGTGCTCAACCAGATGGTGGAGCAAGAGAGCGAGATCTTTCACGACATCGTAGTCGAAGACTTCATCGACTCGTACCACAATCTTACTCTCAAAACGCTGATGGGAATGCGCTGGGTGGCCACTTTCTGCAACCAAGCCAAGTACGTGATGAAAACGGACAGCGATATCTTCGTGAACATGGACAACTTGGTGTATAAACTCTTGAAGCCGGCCACCAAACCTCGACGGAGGTACTTCACGGGATACGTCATCAACGGCGGACCCATTCGGGACATGCGCAGCAAGTGGTACATGCCCAAAGACCTTTACCCCGAGAGCAAGTACCCGCCGTTTTGCTCCGGCACTGGGTACGTGTTCTCGGCGGATGTTGCGGAGCTCATCTACAAGACGTCCTTGCACACCAGACTCTTGCATCTGGAGGACGTTTACGTCGGGGTGTGTTTGAGGAAGCTGGCCATTCACCCGTATCAGAACAGTGGCTTCAATCACTGGAAAATGGCCTACAGTCTTTGCAGGTACCGTCGAGTCATTACCGTACACCAGATCTCCCCTGAGGAGATGCATCGTATCTGGAACGACATGACCAGCAAGAAGCATCTCAAGTGTTAGTGGGAGCTGCCCGAGGATGTGTATTTGTGCCCTTTTTTAAATCCCCATGATGCACAGATGCGACAAGGAGCCTTGGGACAAACTGTAGTCCTTTCTTAGAAACACTAACATCATTCTGGGGCATTTCAAGGATTTCGAAACACGCTGAGCCCATTGTTTGAGAATCGGTTGGGGAATGTGCTATTCGTGTTAATATAACTGTGTCAGTCTGTCTAAAACTAATGAAGGTTCAACATGCTGGAGTTTCTTTTGGCTGGATGTAGGGCTGCACGATTAATTGAATGCGATTGTCATGCACATTTTGTTAAAAAAGCCGGTTCTGTAATCAGCAGGTCATCACATGCTTTCAGATGGAGCAGAATTTACTACACATAGCCGTAGTTCACTGACAAGTTACTAAAAAAAAAATCGCAGACGATTTTATTGCGCGATTCTGAAATCGAAGAAATCGTACGCGATAATGACTGCTGTTTGCATAGCTTCTCAGTGAATTACGGCTCTGTGTAGTAAATGCTGCTTATTAGTCACGTTGAATCAATGAAAGCAGTTGAATCTTCTGTTTATTCAGCTGCAGCGATGGCATTTCCTGGGTTTCTTCTGCGCGGCGTATTTGGAGTTTCAGCGCGAGAGCGCCTTCTGGCCTTTGGATGGAGATTTACTGCTGATCACAGAACCGTGCTTCACTGAAAGATACGCATGACAATCGCAGCTTCTGTCGAATCACAATCTCGATTCCATTTCGATTTATCGCCAGCCCTATTCCAGCCCTAGTTGGATGCACAGCAGAATGTCCGTGATCATTAAATTTTCTTTGCACATTTTTCTGGTTGTACAAACGAAAGTACCATTGCTTTGTTTACTGTATGTGAAAGCGCTTGCATTGTTTGTTTACACGTTCAGAAACGTCTTTTCTTGAAAAAGATAACGCGATGTATAGTTCCTTATTTATAAGTATAAAAATTATTTTCTTACTCCTAGAAGTTGAACACCATTGCTTCAGAACAGCTCATGTTTGTAGTTATACTGTAAATCTGTATATCTAAAGTCATTAACGCTTGGTATCAAGTGTCATTTAGTGAGTATCTACCGTACATTGTCAAACCTGTAGAAACTTTGCGTAAGGATCACAGTGTAAATGTGGAATATAATGAAGGTGAGAAACATGAAAAAAAAAGCAGAACACTTGAAAGTGGATTTGATTTCATTGAGGCCAAAATGTGATTCATGCGTTTTATTTTTTCCTTTTGCAATTGTCTGGAGTAATTGAGGGGACGTGACATTTAACTGTGAAAACAAAAATGAACATATTATCCCCAGTGGGTACTATTGTATTATACTGTGTATTTTTCACATAAAAATATATAACAATGTTCTTTTCTTTTCTTTTTTTTGAAGCGTTGTTCTTTTTGTTTGTATGTTTTGCTCATTTATATTCAAGATTCTAAAGGGATAATAAAAAAATAATTTACTAACGGTCATCTCAAGTCAAAGATTTAAAGAAATTAATAATTGTATTCAGCCGGCCCACAATAAATGAATCAAAGCAAAGACTATATAATGTTACAAAAGATTTCAAACAAATGCTGTTATTTTGAACTTTCTATTCATCAAAGAATCCTGAAAAAATGTATCAATGTAGCAAATGAACATAATTAGAATGATTTCTGAAGAATCATGTGACAGTGAAGACTGAAGACAAATTCATAGGAAAACATTACATTATAAATTATATTACAATAAATGCTGTTTTTTAGTGTTTTACAGAAAATTGGGGTATTGTCTGCAGCCATATGGCCATTTTCCAATGGCTTTGAAAACTCATTATGCATTTAGAGTAGGGCTGATTTGTAAAACATTTGCTTGTTTGGAAATTGTTTTCTGACTTTCAATGAGCCTGTTTAGAAAACCATTCTGTTAAATTTCTGTCACTTTTGAATCTGATGACTTACCTTTAGCATGACAGCATAAATGTGCTGTGGAGATCCAGTAAAATGTCCATCCCACCTTCTCCATCCTTGGAGGATTTCACCAGTCACTTGTCCTGCCAAATGCCGACAGTAGTGCCACTTGGCAGACTGGTCAGGCAGCTCGAGACGTGCCAAACGCTGGCCTTGCCAAACTCTGTCAGCACCCGTGACAAATAAAGACAGTTTTTGGCGTTGCTGTGTGTGTGTGTCATAATGGAGCCAGTGCTTTACAGCAACCGATTTTCAATCAGCAATGGGTGTCTATTATGGGATGCCTTCCAGGAGGCTGTTGTCAAGGCGGAATTAAAAGCAATCAGCATCCTGAGTGAATATAGTGTCAAAAAAATGGCACTTAACTTGAATAGTGGCACACTTTGGTGTCCCATTACCTTAAAAAGTGCTTTTGGCCAGTCCCAACTCTGAGGTCTGATGCAACAATTAAAATCGCACAACATCTGACTATAACTCACATTCATTTTATTATATAGCCTATATTATAAAAATGTGCCATTTTTAACAGCCAAAAAAGTGATGTCCCACATTTTTCATCCAAAATCCCCATCTTTTCTGTCTACATGATCTTCCCTGTTACAATAAATAAAGATAAATAAAATAAAAATCTTTGTGACCCAAGAAGTGTCATCATCTAAACCCCTTCTACAGCACGATGGACAGCAAGTAAATAATTTGCCTTTTTTTTTAAATATAGTTTTGACTGCATTGAAGAAATTGGAGGAAAAAATGAAAAATTTGAAGAAAAATTAAAATAAACTGAAAAAACAAATTAGTTTTATATAAATATATAATATTATGTAAAATATATATAAAAATATTTTGGCTCTTTCCATGGGTACAAAATAATGCATGAAACAAATGCAAAAACCATAATCCATAACCAATGCTGCAATTTAATGTCTATACGCACACTGTCTGTGTGTGTGTGAGTGTGAGAGAGTGAGTGAGTGTGTGAGTGTATATATATCAAGGCTAAAAAGATAAATATGATACAATAGCTTAAGGTGATATTTTAAGCTACTGTAGAAAAATGCAATTAAAATCAAGTGAAATTATATTTCTGAAATATGTTTTTTCTTAAAATAAGCACAAATAATTTGTCCTTTTCATGTATAGTATGCACCAATATAATAAAGAAAAAAAACATTAAAATCACAGTTTGCTTAATTTTTACATCTCGATCTAAATCATTTCAGGTATTTGATAAATTCCCCATCCCACTAGTTCAAGTGCTCACATAAACGCTCCACATCTCACATAAATCTGATCGTTTTTCTCCCCATTTCATGAGAAGACGATTAGATACTAAAACACTGTAATGGAATCTCTTTCTGAGGGTTTGCCGGTGGTAAATGATAGCAATTACTGTATAAAGAAACACACAGAGGCAGGCAAAAGATAATATCATAATCACATTATATGGTTAGAGTCCCTTTTCTTCCAAAACACAGCCATGCTCCGGTTTAATAGTAGCAATTCTGTTTTATTTGTTGTACCTTCGCAGAAAGTTTATATTCTCTGATGATTACAGAAGGGCTGAATAGTAGGGAGGGAACACGCATGGTATATAGAAAACACAATTCAACTTAATCATAATAATAAATTATTTAATATTTATTTACATTTGGGCTGAGAACAGAATCATTTAATTCAAGTACTATACTATATACTATACTGGTTTTGGACACACAGATGGCTTTTCTGTCATTCAGTAGTAGACATTTGGTTTCCTTTACAAAATACTTCTTGTTCACTGATAGACAGATGCATTCTGGGCTCAAAAACAAACACATTCGAGTGCTGTAAAAGTGACGCGTGACCATCGGCCGTCTGGTGAATATGATATATCAGGATTAAGGTGTGCGTTGTGGTAGCGATGACCTTGTTTGTCAGCGTTAACGGGTTAAACATGGATAGTTATTGCGTAAGCGTCGCAGGTGCACGTACATCGCACCGCATGAAATCAAAGTGCATCAGCTGGTAACCAACACGAGCCACTGACCGGTGAGAATACTATGAGCGAATCTGTAAATCAGCAACGTTCTTCCTGTTCGGTGTCAGCCGAACAGCTTCAAGCCTGTAACCTACGTCTCTTAGGCACGGATTAAAATTAACAAGGCACCTCTAGCGTCGAAGCATCAACACTGTCCCGAAAAAAGAAAGCAGCATGTTTGCACATGGCAGCATTCGGTTCTCTGCTCTTTTACTCTTTGAGCTAAAACAACAAAATATTCCCTTATTTTAGACATCATGTATTCTATGTACAATACAGTTTGAATGTGTTAACATTCAGAATGAAAATGTGCTTTTTACATTCAGAGGGAGACGTCTCCACTCTCCACTTTAGTTTTGTGGTCTACGATCTGCGCTACACTTACATGAAATAAAAGGCTTTTTTTTTTCAGTAATAATAATACGGTAAGAGCTATGAGGTAACACAATAACAATCATAATTATAATAATAATAAAAAATTAAAAATAACTTTTTGTTTCACTAGCTATTGCCTCCTGAGATTATGGCTCCTGCTTTGAATTCTGGGAAATGGCTGCTGGAATGTTTTGGTGAAGGGCATACAGTGTCTGGGAACAAGGGCAAAAGTGTGTGTGTTTGAATAAGAGTGCTGCGTTTGATTGAACAGGTGCAGAGGGCAGCTGATTCGGGAGGAGAAGGAAAACCTGAACGGGAGCAGGAGGTGGGAGTTTTGCAGCAGAGGTCTTGAATGCGGTAGCGGCGTCTCCTGCAGCGTTCACTCTCCCCGTCCTTCTGCTCTGGTAATGAGATGCTATCAGGTGACGCTCAGCTGGGCGAAGCCAATCAACTTCACCTCATCTGGGATCTCTGTGCTGTCACAACCAGATGCCTGGAGACAAACACAAAGAAACAAATGCACGTTAATGCAGCTGAAACAAATCACAGCTTGTGTGACTGCTGAAGCATTATTTAAAGGAATGTTCCGGGTTCAGCATGTTAAAGGGGTCCTATTATGCTCTTTTACAAAGTCTTGATTTTGTTTTGGGGGTGTACTAGAACACTCACACTAGTTGTTTGAAAAACACATTATTTTTCAGATATTTTACATTATTACAACACCTCTCTCTCAGTCTGGCATGAACGGCTCGAATAGTTCCTGTATCAAATGAAGGCCCGCCTTCTGAAATACGAAATGTGCTGTGATTGGTTAGCTGGGCCAGTGTGTGTTGTGATTGGTTAGCTGGGCCAGTGTGTGTTGTGATTGGTTAGCTGGGCCAGTGTGTGTTGTGATTGGTTAGCTGGGCCAGT